GGTGAGCTTTTCATCAAAAAGTAATAAAAATAAAACTAATTAAAAACATGAAAAAATAAAGCCATATCTTTTTATTCACTATGTCCAAATTTTACATCAGATTCCTCTTCTACTACTCACTAAAAATCATCCTCCTGCATTTCTCTTACCGTTAACCCGCAGGTCTCTCTCACCAACCTTGGAGATTTCATCACTATTCCATCCACACAGAAATCAATCCAGGACCTCACTGAAAATAATTGGCCAGGCTCCACTGCCAAAGTCCTTTCCATTCGAGATCCTCATCCACTTCCCACCTAATCACTACTAGTCATCCAATGGGGAAGCTCCTTCCTCTCTGTAAACAAAGTTTTGAGGCAGGTGGGACTGGTAGACCTGTACGGTGAGAGTCAAAAATGATTCCTCTTTTTTTGGTTTTCACTGCTTGTATTTCTATTATATGGCCACAAATCAGATTTATTTAAATAATACTGCAACATTGATGATTCACAGTGGTCTGGCAGTCAAAAGAAATCAATCAACATCAATCAATACATATGCATTGAATATCTATTTTGAGTGTACAGGAGTCTGACATTTATATTTACACAGCCAATTTTTCCCCATTGTGCTGATGAAAGGTTTGCTTTTCCCTCCAATGTCCACTTTGCCCTTGTCCTCATTGACCCTTGTTTGAGTTGTCTTGACTTTCTGCCCAGATCAATAAAGGTACTTCAAATTTTGATTCAGGTTTTCTGTGTGCTAGGAAAGCCTATATCTTATGCAAGTAGAAAATGTAAAGAAAACTTCCCTTATGCATTCTTCACCTTGTCCAGTAATTATTCACAATCCTTGGTCTAGTACCGAAGGGCCCAGGGAAATTATTTCAATACAGTAGATATATTAGTTAAATATTATGCAAAAATTTATACCAAAATATAGTTGCTAAAACAATGCACATTGATTGCCTCATATAGTTTCTATGGGTGAGGAATTTGGGAGCAGCTTTCTTGGGTAGTTCTGGCTCAGGATCTCTCTTTAAGGTGAGGTCAAGATGTCTGCCATGACCCCAGTCTTCAAAGGCTTCACAGGAGCTAGAGTATGAACTTTCCAAGATAGTTGCTGGGTGGAAGCCTCAGTTCCTCATCATGTGGACTTCTTTATGGGACTGCTTAATTGTTCACGGGATGTGACAGTTAGTTTTCCATCAAGAAAAGCATCTAAGAGTGGAAACAGCAAGTAAATCACAATGCCTCTTTTATAACCTTGCCACACAATTCAACTTCTATGGTATCCTACTCTCTTGGAGCGAGTCACTAAGTCCAACCTATAATCAAGGGAAAGTGGAGTTAGTCTCCACCTTTGGAGGAAATAATGTCAATGAATCCATGAAGTTATTTCAAAATCCCTTTGATAAGTGTATTAGTCAGGCTTATCCAGAGAAACAGAGCCAACAAAATAGATAGATAGAGATCGCAGATTATAAATAAATATAAAATACAGAATATAGAAATAACCTTGACTCTAGATACAGATTTATTATAAGGAATTGCTCGTGTGACGATACTGATAAATCTAAAATATGCAGAGTATATTCCAGCTCTGGTTAAAAGGCTGGTGCCACTGTAGAAACAGGAAGAACTGGTGGTCCATTAAAATACTATCATTAATGGGCAGAAGAATCTTCTTATGCAAAGGAGGTGCAATGTTTGTTGACCCCTACTTGGGCTTCCAACTGATTAAATACATCTTACCCACATTTTGGAAGGGAATCTTCTTTATTTAAATTCACTGATTTAACTTTTGATCTTATCCAAAAATACTATCATAGATACTTCTAGAATGTTTGACCAACTTTTGAAGACCCTGCAGCCCAGTCAATCTGACATATAAAATTAAGTCACAATAAATATTCAAAGTTTATCAGTAATGAAATGTTTGTGCTAACCCTTTATAATTTTGTTAATTTACTGATGTTTTCTCTGAAAAACAACCATATTTGAACATTTTTCTGAAAAACTGCATATTTGAATGGAAATTTACAATTTGCTGATCATTTTTCAAAAGCTTTATCTCTTTTAAATTTTATAACATGCATGAGGAGAAAACTAAACCACAGAGACATTAAGTAAATTTTTTGCTTAATTTTAAGAGAAATTAATTTAAAGAGCAAAACAAAAATAATCAGAGAATAGGTTCTTTGAGTATGAAGCAATAAAAATTTCCTTTATACTACCTTTCCAGCAATTGTGTATTTTCCTAATATTTATGGAGACTGTTTTATGTTTTGTGCAATATTTACAGCAAAATCCTTTTGCAAATGAAATTCTGTATTCAAAATTAAGCTCTATATTTTGAAATATGCTTAAAGGATGAGAATGAATCTGCTGAGGCGCAAGATAAGTGGGCTAAAGCAAATAGAGCTCACCTATTCTGTCTCTCTCTTCTGCACCTTGGGAGACCTTTCAGCCCCAAGCATCTGTGAGACCTGGTTTGATATCCAACGGCCCAGATCATATTTCCTTCTGTGGCAAGAATGAAGCTTCACAGAAGGAACAAAAAGCCCATTTCTCACATCAGGAAGAATTACTGGGATATCGCTGTCCTTTTACTGTCAGCCAAATGGGCATCTCGCTCTGTTGTCTGGGAGAGTCGCCTGGAAGCAAGCTGGAGTTTAGGTTTGAGAGGCAGAAGCACTGCATTGTGATTTCTCTTAGACCCCTTGCATTTGTACCATTAAGTTTGTTCTAAGTTATGTCATTTCTGAAGTTAAACTTTCCTAGTTTTCTGTGTTGTAAAAAAGATAATTTTGAAAAAGTAGGGTGCAGGAGCAAAAAGGTTTTGGAAAGGTACTTGGCAAAGTGAATGGAAGCATAATTTTGAATGTCTGACTACATTACTTTTATAATTAGAACATTTCATGATTAGAAATGGTTGATTATAAAACCTCAGCCAGCCTGTCAGCCAGATACTTTGAAAGTTCTAAAAAGAATAATTTTTTAATCTCAAAAAAGCCCCACCTCCACAATCCAGTAAGATAAAATAACACTCCCATGTCCCAAATGAGAAAAGAACAGAGGTTCCTAAAAGTCAGGCTAAAATCAACACGCTCAACTCCTATTGTCTGCTGCAGGCATGGAGATGCACTCTACACTATCTTTCTCTAACTTTTCCAGCTCAGACTCACTAAATTATACCATGGCGCTGCCAGTCTTCCAAAGTATCAGTGGTTCAACAACACCTGAAAAATAAAGTTTCAATTCTTCATCAAGCACATTCCACCCTTCAAAATATACCACAGTTTTGTGCCTTTGTATATTTGAAATCAAAGCAATTTAAATAAATTCAACAAATATTAGTTGGGATTAATAGGTTCAGTGCTAGTCAAGAGAATATACAGCATAATGGAAGATCACACCCTGGAAAGAACTCACCTTAGCACAGTAGACTAACAGGTGTGCAAAAAACTGAAATATACTACAACACATGCACTAATAGATTTTGTAGAAGGGCAGAAAAGCAAATAATAAAGTTGGATACTTTCCACTACAGCGATCTTCTACTACATGTTAAAAGCAAAATGATTTCTTTTACAAATAGAAAAGTTAACTAGGCAAGGGTCAAGGCAGTTGACAGATGGAAAAACACCCAGGCACAGGGAGTGGCCACCTAAAATTAGTGGGGAGATTCACATTTGTCTCCATGCCCTGCACCTCCAGGGGCAGTTTCAGTACCATCCCCAGAAGAGGCTTCTGGAAGACAAGGCCATCTTCCATTAACATTTTTCCCCGCCTTCAGCCCAAGGGAGGTAGCAGCTTCTGATTTTGAATAACCACTTGCTTTTCTCTTTTATACTTTGGCCCTGGCAATACATTTTTAACTAATTCCCTAAAATGAATTCTCTATGCTTGAGATTGCTAGAATAACATTTCATCTTGGTTGAATATTGACAAAAGTAAACTCCTAGCACATTGTTAGCTTCTACTACTGAAAAGTTTTATAGATGAAAAAATAAATGGCAAATTACTCAGTGTGGACTACTTCTAAAATTGAGGCTCAGTTTTGATAACAAATTCCTACACTCATATAACATTAAGTTGAAGAACAGTTTCACTGAGGAATGGAGAATTTCCTAATATTCTTACATTTTTAAAAAAGGGAATGACCAGATCTTCACTGTAAGCATATTAAGCTACACTGGAAATTTTATCATCCTTCATCTTTATTCTCCAATAAATAAGAGGGGAGAAAAATTAGAAATCGGTTGGAATTTCAATTACAAGTTATAAAGTACACTCCTTTTGGTTGAAAAATGAAAATGCCAATGGAAGGATTTTATACTTCTCTTTATCAGCTTTCTTAGTCCATGTGTTTATTTTAGCTGTATTTTCATGCAGCCTTTGGAGAGCAAATCAGAGTTATCTGCAAACAGTTTTCATTTTCAATAAGGCCATAAAGTTTAAAACCTACAGAAAATAATGTATTGACTACATAGCATTTGAGGCTATTATGGCTGAAACGAATAGACTATGCTTTTCTTTTGCTAGGGTACAATTTTGTCAGTATACTCTGGCAAGCAAAGATCAGACAGGGGAATTAGAGGGACAGTTTGATTTCTTAGGGAGATCAATGAATATGACAGGTTAATAGATGGCACACAGCTGGTGTCAGGTTCAGAAGAAGTGATGGCAGAGGACAAAGGAGCAGACAAGATGAGCATTTATAGGAGAGGAGTCTAGTTCTGTGTGGAAAATCAGAATACCCTGGGGAAAACAGGAGTTAGTAGTTATCTTTCTTGGGAAAAGTAGCACAATCAGAACATATTAGATATTCAGAGAGTCCCCTAGGAACCCAGCCACTTCTACCTCAAGGCCACAGGGACATCTCCAAACAGCACTCTATGCAGTGAAAGCATCAGTCATGGTTTCTGGATTACTCTTCTAGTATGACATGCTCCCCAGAGAAGAAAGGAAGAACTTCAAACCTAGCGAAGGTCAAAGGCCCTCTAACATTTTCTCTGTGGCCATTCTTACCCAGGGGATACAGGGTAACTAAACAAACAAAAAAAGATCATAGAAATAAACTATACTTGCATCCAAACTTAATCTCTGCCATTTTCTAAACAGGCAAGTAATTCAGCTTCTATGCACCCATTTCCTTAACTCAAATGAGAATAAAAATAAGTAGCACGAAGAGTGCCTAATAAATGGTAGAGGTCTTGCTCATGCAGGTTAGTGGAGGTAGTCATGGGACTAGTACCACTCCTTCTCCTTAATTTTACACCACTAAGACCATTGTTATATTAAACTGAATACACCATCTCAGGCTAATGCTAAGTCATCAATAGACACTCTTACCTGAGAACAATGTGATCTGAGCTGAATTTAGACCACCTGCAAAAAAAGGCACCTTGAGTTATAGTATTTATTCTCATTCATGCAACTAAATTTTTAAAAGTGTTTAACAGTACCAGTAGAAGGGCAATCGGGGCATGGTAAATAATGTCCATTTGTAGGCTAAAAAATGCTTAAAAACTATTAACCCAAGCTTTTCTTAAATGCTTATTAAGGAAGGCAAATTAGATGTAAATGTACGTAAAGATTTGCTGAGAGAAATGGACAATCATAAAATGATGCAGATACATTTAAGGGAGACATTGGAAATGACAGTTGAATAGCAATTATGGATGCTGAATGTATTCAAGAAATGTCAGATGATTATACTATATATCAAAATGTTTAAAATCCATAAAACATGAAAGCAAAAGCAGAAAAATGTTTATATCTAGAGAATACTTAGTATGGTCATTTTGTAAATGATTTTTAAATCTCATATTAAAAATACTTACCAAAGTAGGGAACGAGTAGAGGCAATTTCATTGACATTAAAGTCAGGCTCCTGTGTTGGCAAATATATAGCATATTTTGTTTCTCATCTTTCTCTACAAAAAGGCGGTACTAACATCTGCTTCAGGAAACTAAACCTGTGAAACAAAGTAATGTATGTGCAATGCATAATACGCCAGTGTAGTCACTCTAGATGTAGCTCTCCAACTTTAAAGCTATAAATCTCTCAATATTAGTAGTTAGATGAAATAGCCAATTTATTAAATAAAAAATTCTAGTTTGTGGATAATTCCTTAGACCAAATAGGTCTTGCAGGCATGGGGTAGCTGAACAAGAATTGTTAGCATTTTATATTATATGAATAAGAATCATTGCAACCAGATAAATCACAGTATAAAATGTAAGGATCCATAATTAGCCTTATTCACTCTTTATAGAGAACAAACTATTTTTAAATGGTGCTCTTTATTAAACTTGATAGAAAAATGAATAGAACAAAAATTAAAGAACTACCTTACAATACTTTGAGAATAATCCTCAGCAATAAACTAACTGTGTTAGGAACTAAGGGAAAAAAGACTTTAGAAAGGGACATTGTATCACTGGATGAAGGTAAGGAAACATGTCACTTTGTGCCATGTAAAGCAAAACTTTGTAACAGACACAATCCGTGGAAAATTAACTTCTGCAAAAATAACATAATGAGAGCTAGTGAAATTAATGTTAATGTATTGTGTCACTATTTTCCTCATTTTATGAGTCAAAGAAAATTTTAAATAACTGCTGAAATTCCATGGTAGAGATTCGGGAGGGGATGACACACATTGCTCCAAGAATTGCAGTATGTACTTCCAGACATACCTGGTTTCATCTGGGACCGTTTCCTTGGATATACACTAGACAATACAAGTAGATGGCCAAGGTGAGAGCAGAAAGGCTGTCTGTCGGGTATGAGCCAGACAGTAACAGGAATGCTTCTCTAAGCAGCCCTCCAGTTATTAGGGACCAGTTTGCTGTACAACAGGAGAGCCTGCTGTTTACTTCTCTCTGCTCTCAGAGATCAGTAGTGGTGCAAAGCTGGAGAACATTGTCTCCTGTGGAATAGATGCTTCAAACTAAAATCTATCCACCTCGTCCTGTCTGAATCACCCCATTTGAAATTGCTCAGAGTGACACAGATGTTTACATCCACCACTGACTTCACAAGGAAAAAGTTTCATTCCACTGAAGCATTTATTTTTCTAACAAAGTGTTTCACATTTTTCTAACCCTTTTGCAATGAATCATTTTAAATAGCAAATGCTTTTTCAGGTTCATGTAGCAACAACTTTTATTAAATAGGATTTATACTATTTTCATTTTGGGCAAGGAAAGACTGAACCCAGGTTTAGTTATTTATGCCACAGAAGTCTAGTTATAGAGTAGAAATTACCCTATAATTCCCTTCACTTATTCCAATACAAAATATTTATTGAGCTGTTACTAAGTGCTCAGACTGCCAAGTCTTAAGCGATTGAAACAATTAAAATCCACCTAAATTTCCAAATATGTATGAGCAGCAAATAAAAATATATAGAAGCAGTGAAAATGGCTAATAAATATTAGTTTTAGTCTTAAGTCAAACAACCAAAATGTTTCTTGATCATGTATTATATGAAGCAACATGATATGTAAACCAGAAGGCAATATAATGTGATTTATTTCTCACATTCTATACACAAAGAAAAACACAGAGAATGGGGCTGGGAATTTAGCTCAGTGTCACAGCCCCTGCCTCACAAGAGCAAGGTCCTGAGTTCAGTCCCCCATACTGTACTG